TGAAAGGAGTAAGAGTTGTTTTGATTTGCATTTCCCAGATGACTAAGGATATTGAGCACTTTCTTAAGTGTCTTTCAGCCATTTTAGATTCCTCTATTGAGAATTCTCTATTTAGTTCAATGCCCCACTTTTTAATTGGATTATTTCGTGTTTTGGTGACTAGCTTCTTGAGTTTTTTGTATATTTTGGAGACTAGCCCTGTCAGATGTGAAAGGTGAAGATCTTTTCCCAGTCTGTGGGCTGCCATTTTGTCTTGTTGATTGTGTCCTTTACCTGACAGAAGCTTCTCAGTTTCAGCAGGTCCCATTTATTAATTGTCCATCTCAGTGCTGTGCTATTGGAATTATGTTCAGTAAGCATTCTCCTGTGCCAATTTGTTCAAGAGCACCTCCCACTTTCTGTTCTAAGAGAGTCAGTGTGGCTGGATTTATATTGAGGTCTTTGATTCATTTGGATTTAAGTTTTGTGCATGGAGATAGATATGGATCTATCTGCAGTCTTCTACATACCAGCATCCCGTTATGCCAGTACCATTTGTTGAAGATGCTTTCTTTATTAATTGTATAATTTTAGCTTCTTTGTCAACAATCAGGTATTCGTAGGTGTGTGAGTTAATGTCAGGGTTTTCAATTTGATTCCACTGTTGTTGAGACTATAGTGCTATAGTAGAACTTGAAATCAAGGATGGTGACGCCTCCAGAAGTTCCTTTATTGTACAGGATTGTTTTGGCTATCCTGGGTCTTTTGTTTTTCCATATAAAGTTGAGTATTGTTCTTTGAAGGTCTGCAAAGAATTATGCTGTGATTTTGATGGGGAACTGCATTGAATCTGTAGATTGCTTTTGGTAAGATTGCCGGTTTTACTATGTTTATTCTACCAATCTAAAAGCATGGGAGGTTCTTTCCATTTTCTGGTATCATCTTTAATTTCTTTTTTTAAAGACTCAAAGTTCTTATTATATAGATCTTTCACTTGTTTAGTTGGCATTTCCCCAAGATATTTTATGTTGTTTGTGGCTATTGTAAAGCGTGATGTTTCTCTGATTTCTTTCTCAGCCCCTTTATTATCTGTATATAGTAGGACTACTGGTTTTTTTGAGTTAATCTTGTATCTTACCACTTTGCTGATGGTGTTTATCAGCTGTAGGAGTTCCCTGGTAGAGTTTTTTGGGTCATTAATGTAAACTATCATATCATCTGCAAATAGAGACAATTTGACTTCTTCTTTTCCAATTTGTATCCCCTTGCTCTCCTTTTGTTTTCTTATTGCTCTAGCTAGAACTTCAAGTACAATATTGAAGAGATATGGAGAGTGGACACCCTTGTCTTGTTCCTGAGTTTAGAGGAATCACATGAGTTTTTCTCCATTCAGTTTGATGTTGGCTGTTGGTTTGCTGTATTTTGTTTTTATTATTTTTAAGTACGTTCCTGTTATCACTGATCTCTCCAAGACCTTTATAATGAAGGGGTGTTGGATTTTGTCAAAGGTTTTTTCAGCATCTAGTGAGATGATCATGTGGATTTCCTTTTTCAGTTTGTTTATATGGTGGATTACGTTGATGAGTTTTTCGTATATTGAATCATCCCTGCATCTTTGGGATGAAGTCTACTTGGTCATGGTGGATGATTTTTCTGATGTGTTCTTGAATTCGATTTGCCAGCATTTTATTGAGTATTTTTGCATCAACGTTCATGAGGGTCTGTAGTTTTCTTTTTTAGTTGTGTCTTTGTGTGGCTTGGGTACCAAGGTAATTGTAGCCTCAAAAAAAAAAAAACCTGTTTGCAATGCTCCTTCTGCTTCTATTGTGTGGAACACTTTGAGTAGTATTAGTATTAGCTGTTCTTTGAATTTCTGGTAGAATTCTGCACTGAAACCATCTGGCCCCATGATTTTTTTTGGTTGGGAGACTTTTGACTGCTTCTATTTCATTAGGGACTATAGGTCTACTTAAATTGCTTATCTGTTCTTGATTTAATTTTGGTAAGTGATATCTATCCAGAAAATCGTCCATTTCCATTATTTTTTTTTTTTTTAATTTTGTGGTGTTCAGGTTTTCAAAGTATGACCTGAAGATTCTCTGGATTTGCTCAGTGTTTGTTGTTATGTCCCCCTTTTCATTTCTGATTTTGTTAATTTGCATGTTCTCTTTGCCTTTTGGTTAGTTTGGATAAAGGTTTGTCTGTCTTGTTTATTTTCTCAAAGAACCAACTATTTGTTACATTGATTCTTTGTATTGTTTTCCTAGTTTCTACTTTATTGATTTCAGCCCTCAAATGATTATTTCCTGGCATCTAATACTCTGGAATGAGTTTGCTTCTTTTTGTTCTAGAGCTTTCAGTTGTGCTGGTATTTCTCTAGTGTCTAAAGTCTAATGAGTTTGTAGGTTTTCTGAAATTTGCATTTGTTGTTGAAGAACGATGTTCTGATAAGATACAGGAGGTTATTCCAATTTCTTTGTACCTATTGAGGTTTGCTACATTGGGGTGTATGTGTTAGATTTTAGAGATGGTTCCACGTGGCGCTGAGAAGAAGATATATTCTTTTGTGTTTGTATAGAATGTTCTATATATGTCTATTAAACCCAATTGGGTCACACTATCTTTTAGTTTCTTTGTTTTTTGTTAAGTTTCTATCTGGTGGTCCTGTCTAGTGTTGAGAGAGAGGTGTTGAAATCTCCCACTCCAAATATGTGAGGATTTATGTGAGATTTGAGTTTTAGTAATGTTTCTTTTACGAATGTGGGTGCCTTTGTATTTGGGGCATAGATGTTCAGATTTGAACTTCATCTTGAATAAGAAAGGACCTTCTTTATCTCTTTTGATTGATTTTTAGTTTAAAGTCTAATTTGTCAGATATTATGATTGTTACATCTGCTTGTTTCTTGGGTCCATTTGATTAGAAAATCTTTTTTCCACCCTTAACTCTGAGGTAACATCTATCTTTGAGGGATTTTCCCATTACCTCTTTGAAGGTCTCTATCATCTTCATGAAGTTGTTTTAGGGTCGTTCTCTTCTGCTTCATCTGTGTTGGGAAGATCAGGTCTTGCTGGTGTGGAGTCCCTTGACTCTGGTGGCGTCATATTGATCTTTCTGTTGTTGACTGTACTGTTATACTGGTTGTCTACCCATCTCTTACTATGTGTGTGGTGGGATCTCTCCCTCTCCTGGTGGGAATGGGGCCAAGGTTCTCTTCTGGTGGGTACAAGCAGGTCCAATCAATACTTCAATGGCTCTCCTACTCTAGTGGGTGGAGGTGGGACTAGGATGCAGGGAGACTCTGGATGGACTGGCCTGCCGAGATGCAGACCGCATTCCCAAGGAGGCTCTGAGTTGGGCATTGGAGGGTGGGCTCCTCCTGTGGGTGGAGGCAGAACCAGCCCAATTTCTTGTCCCAAGACATCACACCTGCTGTTCTAATTTATGTATCTTCTGGTATACCTTCTCATGGCTTCTCTCTGGGAAATACACAAATTCATGAAGATTTTGCATTTGCAGTATTACAACATATTGCTAAATTTCTTTAAAAATGCTCTTAATTTGTATTTCCATCAACAGTTTGTGAAAATTGCCATATCCTTATGTCTCCACCAGCACTTATTTTCTTAGCTATCATTTTGTAATTGCTGCAGCCTGATGGGCATGGAATAATTTATCTTTATAGTTCTAATATCTACAGTCATTTTTGTAACTTAGACCAGTTTTTCTAATGCTCATTAAGTACATTTCCAATTTCTTTGAGTTATATAGTCATTCCCCTTTCTCGTTTCTTCCAAGTTTTTGTTTTCTTGTTGATATTTTAAAGTATCAGCTACCATTTGGGAGGGATTTCGGTCTGCTCATGTACTGTCTTTCCTGTCTTGGTGTCAAAGTTGTGTTGTTTGTCCATTATGATATTTATTTGTATGCACAGTATGAAAATCATACTCTTTATTTTATTTTGGTGTGTGTTTGTGTTTCTATGCACAAGCACTGTATTTATGTGGTGAATGCATGTGTGTATGTATGTATTCATATGTGCAGGTGTGCTCACCTGAGTGAGCAAATGTGTTTGTATGTATGCATTCATATGTGCAAGTGTGCTCACCTGTGTGTGCATATGTGGGAATCAGAGGTCGCTGTTAGGTGTCTTCCTCTGTCTTTATTCTTATGTAATAATTTCTTATAATTTCATTGTCTTTGTTACCCTTCTAAATAATTATGTTCCCTGATAAATTCTTGTTAGGCTATTAGAACTTAGTTGATTTTCACATTTTGATCTTGCAAACCCAATAAACTTTTAAGATCTTTTTCCTCTTGTGTGTGTGTATGTATGTGATATGTGTGTGTGTGTGTGTGTGTGTCTGTGTGCATCTGTCTCTGTCTGTCTGTCTGTCTGAGTCTCTCTGTGTATTTCTTTGTGTCTCTCTATGTGTATCTGTCTCTCTGTCTGTCTGTCTGAGTCTCTCTCTCTCTCTCTCTCTCTGTGTGTGTGTGTGTGTGTGTATGTTGGGGGGGGAGGCTGTCCTGTGCTTGTGCATTTGGAGGCCAGAGATAGACACTGGTTCTCTTTCTCAATCCTCCCCCTGATCTTTTGAGACAGGGTCTCTCACTAATGGGTTAAACTCTATCGCCAGTGAGTCCCTGGAAATCAACCTGTCTCTGTTCCACCCCCCCCCCCCCCCCCCGCGCCCTGTGCTAAAGTAACAGACATACACAACCTCACCAGGCTTTTTCACAAAGGTTCTGGCAATCCGAGCTCAGGTCTCTCGCTGTTGGTCTTTACCAATTGAGCCACCTCCCTATCTACCAAATACTCCATAATCATTCCAGCAGGATGCTGTTGTCACCATCTGAAAAACCCATGCACATTTGTCACTAGTCACCCAGCAGGTAACACCACACTGAAAAGCAGGCATTGGGGGTTCACTTGTGAGCGCTGGCCTCGTGGGGAATTGCCTTTGATATTCTCTGAAGGGTCTCCTGTCAAATTATTATACATTTTGCAATTTCTTTTTTCTAGACTCCTATGAACCAAGCTTCAACCCGCTCACACTGTATTTTCACTGTTCACTTGACCAACAAGGAGCCGGGATCTGCCACCGTCCGGCATGCTAAGCTCCACTTGGTTGATCTGGCAGGGTCGGAGCGTGTTGCGAAGACTGGCGTCGGGGGCCTGCTTCTGACAGAGGCCAAGTATATCAACTTGTCACTACACTACCTGGAGCAGGTGAATTGGGGGAGCGAGATCAGTTGCACCTCCGTACACTGCGTGGACTTTGTGACAGACATTCTAGTCTGCTTTTGTTCATTTGTTTTATAATCATGGTGAAATATGAATAATGGCATTTATCTTTCTCATAGTTAAAAAAAGATTGTGTATGTGTGTGTGTACATGAGTATTCATGCATGTCTCTGTGTGTGTGTACATGAGCATGCATGCATCTCTGTGTGTGTGTGTGTGTGTACATGAGTATGCATGCATGTCTGTGTGTGTGTACATGGGCATGCATGCATCTGTGTGTGTGTGTGTGCACGCACGCATGTGTGTACATGTGCACACAGAGTCCAAAAGAGGGAATTGGATCCCCTGAAGCTGGAGTTACAGGTGGTTGTGAACTGCCCAATATGGGTGTTTGGAACCGAACTCTGGTCCTCTGCAAGAGCTGTACATGCTCTGAACAGCTGGGCCATCTCTCCAGCTCCCACTTTTAATCGTTTTTTAAAGTGAAGAGTTGAATGGTATGAAGTATATTCCCAAGTAATGTGCAATCAGCCATTATCCAGTCCTAGGACTTTTCATAATCCCAGCCAGAAGCTCCGGACCTATGGGTTATGGACCCTTGTACCTTTTCTCTCTGACCTCTGGTGGCTTGTCCTCTCTGTCCTTCGGACTTTGCCTACTTCAGGTGGAGTCACTCCATGTGTGCCCTTTCACAGCATCTTGGTAGATGCATAAAGATTTATGATCCCTCCACACAGTAGCATCTATCACACTTCTGTCCCCTCTTGGGGCTTGAGCACATACATGCCCCTCAATTTGCTTAGCCACTGGTCCATTGGGGCTGCATCTGTCCCTCGGCTGCCGTGAGTGACCCTCCTGTGAACATCCATGTTTAGAGCTGTGTAGACACCATTCCACTTAAACCAGCACCCTTCTTCTGGAAGCAGTAACTTCCCTATTTTACAGATTGTAAGTGTTTACCCTCCCATGGTCATCCACCTAGTAACAGGGTGAAGATTTGATCTGAGCTTTCACCTGGCCCAGCACACAATCTTTTTTATTACTTTTAAAGAAAGCTTTATTCTCTGCATTGTAAAATTAGTGCTGGACATAAATCCAGGATCCACGTGGCCTGCTGCTTCCTGTTTTGTTGGTTTGTTTGTTTCTCCAGCTCAGAGATTACCCCTGAGAATGTAGCTCAGATATGAACAATATTTTGACAGCTTCTGGTAACTTCATCTGATCAGTAATTTTCCTGCTATGGTGATCTCTTAGCCCTGGCTTGTCTTGAGCCTCCCACACTCCCTCCTGATTACCATCCAATCCACTAGCTGCTCTATTTGTAACTTTTGAATCTGACTCCAAGAGCAAAGGAAAATCACCCAAATTTAGGTAGATAACTTTTCTATACCGTCCGTAAAATGAATGAGTTGGATGGAGAACTTCTGGTGTTACTCTCTTGTCTCTGAATGTTTAGCCTAAAGGCTTTGAGGGCAACAATGACAATTGAAAGTGTCATTTCTTTAATGCCTAGGGAAACCTTTGGGACTAGCGTCTTGATGCTTCAGAGCACTCATGTGGCCAAAGAGGCATGCCAGGGGAACCTGCCTGAATGAGAGGCTATGGTTAACTCCATCCCTGAGAACCCTGGAAAGCAGCCCCTGAGATGAGGGCCTGCAGGCATCGGCCATTTCGGTGCTTTTGACAAGAATCATCAGTTCTAAGTTCTTTCTTGCTCAAATATTCCAAGCAGTTATACTGATGGAGCTTTTCGCTTAATAGGACATTTACTGAAACAGTGATATATGCCTATAACAGGCTGTATTCAAATTGCCTTATTTCAAAGAAATGTGTCTATGTGTTCAGATGGCACCATGGTTTTTAATTCCCATTGTGTCCATCTGTTCATACAAAATTACACTCTTTAGCTGAATCAAACTTTCTACCAATTGTAATCACTCAGGAGAAACAGTTCTTCCACATCCAAGTCGTCCTTCTGTCCACGCAATCTCCTCAAATTCCTGGCTGTCAGTAGAATTACTCCAGTCCTCACTCCACTTCACAGTCCTTGTGAACATTCCTAATGCCAGTGTGGCCCCTGTTGTTTCTTTAATTACTTATCTAGCAAATATTAAGGGTGATCTTATACAGGCCGCCTCTGTCAGCTTGACAAAGCCTAGAGCCGCCTGGGAAGAAAGGCTCAATGGAGGATTGTTTGTGTGGGCTTGTCCTGTGAATATGTCATGGGGGATTATCTTGTTTGTTTCATTGATCTGGGATGGCATAGCCCATTATGAGTGGCACCATTCCCTAGGCAAGGGTCTTGAACTGTATGCCAATGGAGAAATGAAGCTGAACACAAGCAAACTCGTGACCGAGCACTCATTTGTTTGAAGTTTCTGCCTTGACCTCCCCCGGTGTAATCTGGAATGTCAAACTAAAATAATACCCCCTTCCCCTCCCCCAGTTGATTTATTTCAGGATATTTTGTCACAGCAGCTGAAATGAGAGTAAGGTAGATCTATAATGTGCTGAGGGTCATAGACACAGCCTTACCCGAGAGGTCTGAAGCAGCGGCCACCGTAAGAACATCAGCTGCAGCTCAAGTGGGAGCTGTGACAGGCAAGGAACGTGTGCAGAAAGATTGACTGAGGCAGAGGAAGCGCGAATTAGTGATGCCTCTGAAAGGAAGAACGAGTGGGCGGGAGCAAGGCAAGGGTGGGTCAGAGCAGGTCAGGTCCCGGGAGCTATGAGCAGCTCTACAGCTCCCCGGCCCAGAGGGCCATTCCCAAGGCTAAATGCCACTCATGTGTCATTGGCCCTCAGCAATTCTGTTTCCTTTCCACCCACCACATCACGACAGACAGCTGTTAGCTATTTTCTCTGAGACCCAAGTGTCCTCGCAGGCAGGGGAGCAGGCTTGCTAAGGTCACGTGGAGAAAAGACGCTGGCAGGAGAAGGGAGGGAAACAAACAGGTATGGGAAGCTGCGGACATGGCCTTGAGAGAGCTGCTGGCGAGCGGCTGGGGGTCAGAAGAGAACTCCTTCCCGAGAGAAAGAGAGAGAGCCAGAGCACTCAGCAGGGAGCAATGAAGAGTGGGCGAGGACCGCGTGGCTCACGGGCGCTTACGGCCAAATCGTCTCTATGTGTATTTTACTGTGTGGCCAAAGAGCCTGGGAGTGTAAAACAACGAAGTGTAACCAGCTCATCCACCCACTAGGTAGACAGTGGTCGAGTCTCTGTAGGCGATGTTGGACAGTGGGGTAGATTCCTGCCTGAGAACAAGCTATGGTCGTGGAACCAGCGAACCGGCCAAGCATAAGAGCCTGTTATGGTGCCGTGACAAGTGCCATGATCAAAAGCAGCTTAGGGAAGGAAGGGTCTGCTTCAGCTTCCAGGTGACCGCTTGTCACTGAGGAAGGAAGCAGAAACCACAGAGGATCTGTGCTTGCTGGCTCGCTCACAGACTCACACTCAGCTGGCTTCTCATACAGCCCAGGGGACTCTGGCCAGGGTATGGTGCTGCCCACAGTGGGCGGAGCCCTCCTCCATCAATTAGAAAACAAGACAGTCCCTGCTCCCAGATATTTGCACAGGCCAGTGGGCTCTGGGGAAAGCCTGAATGGAGACTCTCTCCTCAGGGGACTCTAGGCAGCGTAAGGTTGTCAGCTGAAGCTAACTAGGACAGAACTAATACCGACATATAGTCAGGTAAACACGTCATAGACTCCATGTAAGTGCTGATATTTAATCACCCCCTTTCTCTCTCCTAGTTTCAGTGTAACAGACGGGTAGAAGAGGGGCTAGTCTGCTCGGGTGTGTTGCATTAATTAGCTTGCATTGGTTTTGAAATTTCTCACAGAATTCTACTTGTTCTGCTGGTCATACTTTCAAGGCCTGCTAGAACTCAGCCAGCCTAAGTTTGCTGACTCTACAGGTTTAAGTGATTAATATTCGGTTTGCCAGAATATTGTTGGTTTTGGAATTCTCTTTATTTATGCAGCACTTTTTTTTCCAACGCGTTTCCTCAAAAACACTTCAAGCCACAATAACAGGGCACCTCGTAGTCCCAGGGCCCAAGTTCGTATGAGGAGAAGGAAAGAGAGTGTGTACTTGTGTTAACTGTGAACCTCAACAAATGTCCTGGGGGTGACCTGAGGTCTCCATCAGCCCAAACAGCAAGTGAGAAATGCTGGGAGCCAGTGTTTGCTCCCCCCCTCCTCCCCGCCACTTCAGAAATCAAATGGGGTTGCTCCCAGCCATCAGCCAGTCCCACAGCACACGTGGCTCCCAAGAGAGCTTCACTCACACCATGCCCGGCAGTGAAGGTCATAAGCTGCTTCTCCTCTTGGTCGGTTTGTGTACTCTTGTGCACTCTTTAAGAGAAATCCCCCTTGGAGGCTATGCAGACAGCCCAGTGGCTAAGAACGCTTGCTGTTCTTGTAGAGTTCAGTTTCCAGAGCCCATATCAGGTGGCTGGCAACTGTTTATAAGTACAGCTCAGGGGGTGGGTGATGCCTTCTTCTGACTTCATGGGTACCTGCAAGCTTGTGTGAATTCACACACACACACACATACACACAAATACATAAAAGTAAAATAAAATCTTTCAAACAAAAGAAAGCAAACTGCTGTAAGGAACATTTTGCCATTGTAATTATAGGTGAAATTCAGAATAGGAGCAAACATTACAAAACAAACATACAACAATAACAAAGACCCAAGGGGGCTGAACGTTTGCTCAGTAGTTAGGAACACACACTGTTCCTCCAAAGACCTGAGTTCAGTTCCCAGCACACATGTCAGGCAACTCACAACCTCCTCTAACTCTATGTGAAGGGTCCAATGCCTCTGGCCGCCATGGGTATCTGCACTCCGATGTGTATGTGCCCCTTCCTGACACACATGGAGGTACACAGACATACACACAGAACACGCTCACACACACACACACAGAGGATTAAAAATCAAAAATACTACAGAACTGGGGCAATAGCTTAGTCGGTGTGTGCTGCTGGGGCATCCAAGTTTAATCCTGAGTCCATGTAAAAAAAAAAAAGGAGGGTGTGGTCACACAAGCAGGGAAGCTGGATTCTGCCTCCACATTCTGGCTTCTTTCTTCTCGTTACCTCCATTTTAGGACCACGCTCCCAGCTTATGTTTAATATTTTCTCTAGCAATTTTAGATCCCTTCACAGAAAGGATGTGGGGTGTCCATTCCAGTGGGGAGCATCCACAACCCATCCCACATCTAGGGATTAGAGATCCTTATTGGCCAAAGCAAACCGGAGCCTTCCCCGGGCTGCAGTTAAGAACCCAGGGGTCTTCTAGGGACCAAGTTGCTCTGCAGGGAAGCTCAGGGTAAAAGAAATCTGTTCTCATCTGACTTATGAATGAAGAAGTGTATATAACATCAGGGTGTTATTTGTAACCTATAGCTTTCCTGTTTCCAGCCTCCTGACCGAGACCAGCATGGGTTACATGTTCTGTAACTTGCCACCAAAAGTGACTTCACAAATATTACAAGCATATTCTGTGTGTTACCCACGTCAATGTTCCCAAGAACATTAATGGATATAACATATCTTATGAAAGACATTCACAGTGGGGAGGACAGGGAGATGCTTATTTGAGGATTTTGAAGCTCTCACTCTTCCTGCGGGTACCCTCGAGGCCAGGAGAGTCTGTTGGATTCCCTGATGCAGGAGTCACAGGGAGTTGTGAGCCACTGTGGTGGATGTGAGGAAAGGAACTCGGGTCCCCGGGAAGAGCAACGTGTGCTCTTAACCACTCAGACTTCTCCAGCCCAAGTTTTTGTCATTTTTACATTGAAAGCTCTTGTTGAAATGACTGTTTTGTGCCTAAGTCTTTGGTGTCACCTGTGTTTATTATATTCATTTTACTTACTTATTATTATATTTTATTTTTTGGTTTTTTTGAGACAGGGTTTCTCTGTATTCTTTTCAAGCCTGTCCTGGCACTCATTCGGTAGCCCAGGCTGGCCTTGAACAGAGATCTGCCTGCGCTTGCCTCCTGAGTGCTGGCATTAAAGGCGTGTGCCACCAGTGCCCGGGCCCGGCTATTATATTTTATTTTAATACTATATTTTGTACTCGCATTATTGAAAGTTCATTGTCAGGTATGCCTTTCCTGCCGGGCTAACGCCATCACCTGTGTGCCTTCCCACAGGTCATCATTGCGCTTTCGGAAAAGCACCGCACACACATCCCTTACAGGAACTCCATGATGACCAGCGTGCTCAGAGACAGTCTGGGAGGAAACTGCATGACCACTATGATCGCCACCCTCTCTTTAGAGAAGAGGAACATTGATGTAGGCCACACTCCTCCCTGCAACTCTTAGTCTGGGTTCTGACGGGGTGGACAGGTGGCGTTGAGGGGCCTGTGGGAGTCTGCGTCTTTTGAGCAGGGTTATATACACCCTCAGAGGTAAATACACCACAGGGCTCATAGCTTTGGGCTCTCTACCAGTGTTATAAGGAACCCCTGCGAGAGCTGGTCTCAGATGAATGGCTTGAAGAAGCCATGTTTGCCAATCTCAGAAGGCCTGATGATAGAATGAGAGAAGGCAATCTTCACCTGCCCTTGCTCAGTTCCTCTGACTGGTGAGGTCTGGGTACCTTGGAGTCATCCTGAGATTTGATCCTAGACGCTCTCAGATGGTGGCCCCTGGATGCTCAGCCAGGGGATATGCAGAAGGCCTTGCCTGGGTAGCCAAGGAGCCAGCTGGGCTCTCGTAAGAGTCAGATTAACATTTTGGATGTAGACATTCCTGGGTGCACCCCAGGACTTCGCCAAGTCATTCACGGCGAATGGTGTGAAAACCTTTGGTTTATTACAAACATTTATTCTGTGGTATTGCATGCTTGTGGATCATAGTGCCTGCTATGCTTATGCCTTTCATGTGACATTCTGGTTTAATACATTCTGGTCACGTACATGCCAGTTGCATCTTGGGGCCCAGGATTGCCTATAGTTTTGTCAATTTGCCTATATTTTTGACATTTTACCAAGCCACACCCATCCTAAAAAATACAGTGTCCCAGGGCCAAAACCCCTCCTTGCGAGGCATAGTTATTTACTGTATGTGTTTCCAGACATCTTACCCTTTTGGTATCTTTTTCTGTTAATGAAAATTAAGTTTTATCTAGAGAGAAATGCCTTTCTATGCCATCATATTTTAAGCAGCTGTTTTGTGGTTTTCCTCAGGAGTCCATTTCTACCTGCAGATTTGCTCAGCGAGTGGCCCTCATCAAAAACGAAGCTGTCCTCAATGAAGAAATTGACCCCAGACTGGTAAGCAAATGCTTGATGTCACTCGGGCTGGCATGCAGCTTCATGTACAGGTGAAGATAACTGAGTGCTGGCATGACAGGCATCACCACCACATCTGTTTTCTGTGATGCTAAGGCAGACGTGGGGTTTTGTGCATTCTGGACAAGGGCTGTATGCACTGAGTTGCATCCTCTGCCCCAGGAAGAAACTTAATCTTTATATTAGACTCCAAGAAATACATATGCTTAACAAGGATATGTGTGACCATCTGGCCCTGGTGAGGGGCAGTGGCTCTCTGTTAAGCAGTGTCTAAGACACTGCATGCATCTACTGATGCAATTCTCAGCATCCTTGGGATGAGCTCCTCTGGCTGTCTCCATGGATAGTGAAGTTGAGCACAAGGGTGAGAAATAACTTGCTCATAGTCTTAGTGAGAATGGGTAGCAGAGCTCAATAGTCAGGGTTAAGAAATCTGCTTCATGGGCCAGCATGGCTGAACACATCCATCAGGTTTACATGCAATGGCTCAGCAGGACAGCATTTTCTCAGCCCTGGATGTGATTCCCCAGAACTACAATGGGAAAGTACAATTATATTTATACACTGGCCCTAACCTTTCACAAAACACTAGTTTTCCTTTCTTTAGACAGAGTATCAAGTCATCTTCCACATGTCTCATGAAGAGAGAGAGCTATTAAGTAGAGATATTATGCGCAAGCATACTGTTACATATTCTAGAGTTTCCTAAAGGTTAGCCATAGTTTGATTTGTGGAAAATTAACACTTTTCTTGGTTTCAAAAATAACTCCTGCCTCATCAAAGCAACTTTTTATGCAAGGAAATCACAGATACATGATTCAATTACTCACTTTGAATATGTTTTTTTTTTCTTTGTGTTTGTAAGTTCTCTGCAAAGGAAAAGGCTATATTGGATCAACACAGGCTACCAGCTAAAGCTCTAACTAAATCTCCCAGATTTATCAAATTCCATGATGAAGGGTGTATGCATATTTTTAAGTCACTTAGCCTTTCTCATTTCTGTAGAAAAGAAGCTGATGTGAGCCTTGCAGAGTTTAAAAATGTGAAATCTCACCAACTTCATTTTCAAATTTCTCAAAATCAAAATATGATCGCTGATCACTGTTGTGCTCTGATCTCTGTGCCTACTTCATCACCTACCTCTCCTGACTGCTATCACTCCACTGAAGGAAGGGGAAGGGAGGAAAAGAATAATGGAGCTATCTGTCTTGTCCCACCAACTTCAAGGAGTCTTGCTTTCCCTGATGGAGAGTCGGTGGGCGAGGCAGGAGCTTCCTGTACCCACCTTGGTCAGATCCCAGCAACACACAGAGTCCTAGGGAAGGGGACAGAATGCAAAAGCAGAGTAAAGAGGAATTGCACCCCTAGGGGATGTAGTCTGTTATCCCTGTCCCTCCCACATCTTAAGAGTATCTTATCACACTGACTGCCCCTGTCCCTCCTGCATCCCAAGAGCATCACTGTGACTGCCCCTGTCCCTCCTGCATCCCAAAAGCATCATTCTGGCTGTCCCTTCTCCTCTATCTCCTAAGAGCATTGTTGCACAGAATGAGAAAGGTCCTATTATGTAGAAGACAAATATCAGTTCATAATTTGTGGAAAATAAACATGTAAGACATTGGAAGCTTTTCTTTATAAATTTGGCCAAAGAGACTTTTCTTTGAAGGATCTGAAGACAGAGGACCAGCATGCGTTTGATGTTGGTCTGTGGCAGATATAAAGAGATCAGGAGCAAAAAGCTAATAGCTGATAATTGAAGTAACTGCCGTGGTTCCTCCTAGTGCTGACTGGCATGGTAACTGCCAAGTGTGGCTTGCTAGTCTCTGCAGTAATGGCACCTAAAAGCACACTTTGGTGCTTATTATTTTCCAGTGTGAAACGTGCCTGGAATACAATAAAAACTGTGTCATGGGGGCAGATGGGATGGCTCAGAACTTAGGAGAGTGCACTGACGTTGCAGAAGACCCGAGTTCAGTTCCTCACACCCTTGTCAGGTGACTCACAAGCCTGTAACTGCAGCTCCAGAGACTGATGTCCCAGGCAAGCATCCTCTGCACTCGTGTGCACATGCTCACACACAGACATAATTTCTAAAATAGTAAAACCAATCTGTTTTAAAGAAGCGTTCAAAAACCTCCCAAGTTATAACTTGGCTGGGATTTCCTGTGTTTTACTCTCAGATTTTAATGCCAAGTGTGGTGCCACCCTGTGTGACCAGAATCACCACACACCAGTACTTCAAAGCAACATGGTGATGCAAGGGACATGAGCTGGGCAGATTCTGAGATGACTGGACATAGGTCAGGATCCCCCTGATGCCTCTAAGTCCAAAGGAAATCTGTGGGGGGGGGCATGGCCATGGTAATGGTAATTTGGGGTTATCAATCCTTAGAAAATATAGACCCAGGAGATGGCTCAATTGGCTGAATGCTTACAATGCAAGCATGAGGTTCTGAGTTTGATGCCCACAACTCACATAAGACAGCTGGTGTGATACGAACCCCTGTAATCCCAGTGCTGGGAGGCAGCGGTAGGACAGCATGTGCTCCCACACATGTCCACAGGCGGTAACAGGAAACTAAAGCATCAGTCTCAGTTTAGGAGAGGCGCTAAAGTGAATGACGAGTTCTTGTCCAAAGAGATCTGTTCTGTGCGGCTCCAAGGTCTCTGATAGTTTTGAAAGGCGACCGACAAGTAAAACATGACACCCTGTGCATTTTAATTAAGTCCCTGGAGACTGTGTCTAAATGCTGTGTGATTTGGAGGGACTGTTGGTCCTGTTGATGTGGCCAACAGAACCTGAATCTCACTCCTATAGAGTTCTGTAAGCATCTTTAGAACCTGTTACTTGAGGGGCGGGAGCCCAAGGCTGAGGTGTCCTTGAGTGTGGACAAACAGTGTTAACCCAGGGATGGAAGTCTCAGTCCTGCATCCCCAGAGAATGGGATGTCTGCTTTCTCCCTAACATAAAAGCAGCTAAGAGGGAGCTAGAAAATGGATCTATTTTCCAATATGGAGACATCAGGGAGGCCATCTGCCATATCCCACACTTCAGTTGGACATGTGGTGCTTTCTTCAACTTTTTGTTTTATTTGTGTGTGTGTGTGTGTGTGTGTGTGTGTGTGCGCGCGCAAAAGTAGTAGGTACATGCAAATAAGCACAGGTACCTGTGGAAGCCAGAAAAAGACATCAGATCTCTTGGAGCTAGAATGTTAGGCAGTTGTGAGCCACCTGACTTGGGTGCAGGGACCTGAACTCGGGTCCTTTGAAAGAGTGGTACTCATTCCACTGAACCAGCCCTCCAGACCACAAGTACTGTTTTCTTGAGAATTTGAAAGTCTTATCCATCCTTCATCCAGGTTTGAATTTCCCATGCACAAACCCCCTTGGTCTAAAAGGTTGTTTGTTTGGTTGGTTTTGTTTTCACTCTGTAGCCCTTGCTGGCCTGGAACTCACAGAGATCATCTACCTGCCTCTGCCTCCTGAGAAACAACCCCCAAGTAAAGAAGTGAGAGACTAAACAAACGGTCTTAGAAAGGGGGAGAAGAGTTGATGTCACCTTAGCTGGGTTAGGGACTCCAATTCTCAAGCTTGGGTACAAAGAGATGCCCCTCCTTTTTACTAACACTGGGCTTTGTGCTGGGTAGTTTTATATAAGCAAATCTTAAGATTGGGCTGTAGCCAAGCCTGTGGGGCATTTTCTTAGTTAGTGATTAACGGAGGGAGGTGCAGTCCTTCGTGGGTGGTACCATGTCTGGGCTGGTGGTCCCGGGTTCTGTAACAAAAGAGTGTGAGCGAGTCACGAGGAGCAAGCCAGTAAGCAGCACACACACGCCCCATGGCCTGCCATCCAGTGCCTGCCCTGAGTGAGTTCCTGCCCTCACTGCTTCTGATGATGAACTGTTATATGGAACCAGGAGCGAAGGAAACCCTTTCCTCCCTAAGCTGCTTTGGTTATGGTGTTTCCTCACAGAAATAGCATCCCTAACTAGGACAGGTGTCTTTAGATCACATAGCAGGAGGGGCAAAGGATGTGTGGATGCTCTAAGCATAGAAGTTAGAAAAACTAGATTTTATCATTCTTGGCTTCTGGTGTATTGGCAAGAAACTAATAAATGGATTACGAACCAAATAAAATTCTTATCAACTTTTGGTTACACTTATCTTCAAATACTCTTGGGTGTTATGTATGGACAATAACATGATCTGCAAGCTCATACTTCTTGTCAGTGTCTCATCAGCCTAGCCAAAAATTCCAGTAGTATTTTAAAGACATTCTTATCTTACTGTTTCTACCACTCATTGCTAAAATAAAGGATTACTGTAACTTTTTGGTTGATACTCTCTGACTTAAATATGTTCACTTATCTTCATCTTGACTGTCTGTCTTTACAATGTATTGATGGATTCTTGATACTATACAGTTTTAGAAAAAGGTGTGTATGTGTGTGTATGTGGTATGTGGTGTGTGTGTGTAATATGTGGTGTGTGTGTGTGTGTGATATGTGTGGTGTGTGTGTATGTGTGTGTGTGGTATGTGTGGTGTGTGTGTATGTGTGTGTGTGTGTGTGTGTGGTATGTGTGGTGTGTGTACTCCTGTGCATCCATTCCTAGAGGTCATTTTCTGTCACGATCTGCTGCATGCCTTTGAGATAGCATCTCCCACTTCCCTGATAAGGACTGGAAGCAGGGATAATCCCCACCAGCTACCCCTCCACTCATTTCTGATGTAGCGGCATCCACTTCAATGACCTGGGTTCTAAGTGGGTGATGAAACTGGATCTCAGGTACTCATGTTTGTGTAGTAAACATGCTGAGCCACCACACACATACACACACACCCCACATATACATACACACATATACCACACAACACACACACATGCACTACACACACATTACACACACACACACACATACACACCTCCCCACACATACCCCCCTACACACACACCTTTCTTTGGGGGACACAGTCTCTTACTGGCCTGGAGCTCACCAGCCAGCTGACTGGCCACCAAACTGCAAGGACCCACCTCCCCAGCATTAGGTTACATGTATGCACGAGCTTGTCTAAGTTTTCCTCGTGAGTTCTGGGGATCACACAGGCCCTTTGCAAAGGCAGATAGTTTACTGACTGAGCCATCTCTGCAACTGCAATCAATTTTGACATATTTCATTGGAACATTATATGCACTTGAAAATTCGTGAAAGGCTGCATAAACCAATATAAATGAGCTCAAATTGTGTGAAAGGGAAAAAAAGATGCAGTAATAGAATATTCACGTAGTTTAAGACATGCAAGACGATATTGCATTATCCAAGGGAGCTTGCATTGGAACATGCATATGGACTAGAAGTGAGACAGTGTAAGGGAAGTGTTTTGACAACTGGTAACTTCTCTAGCACACTGCAGGAAGGACAGACGGGGAGCACAGAGAGATGTCTCAAGATGTATGTGTAATGATTTTTTTGTTTACAAAATAGTTCTAGGGTTATTTAGATCAAACGTTTGGGAACACTAATACCTTTTAGGTGGTTCTCTTTCCAGTTTTGTATCCTAAAATAGTTTTAATTAGTCACCCATGTGTGCACATTTAACGCACATGTGTGGTGGACATGTTCAGAGGAAAATTTGTGGGAATCAGTTCTCTTCTATCACCATGTGGGTCCGGGTCCCAGGGGTTGAACGAGTGTGTCAGGCTTGTTCCCTAGCCATTGAGCGGTCTTGCACACCCAATGCCTCCTAACCTTCCACACTATGCATTTGCCGCCACCAAGATTGTGCTGAGCAGAAGTGGACATGTGCTCTCCCTCTTTTCCCTGCACAGATGATTATCCGCTTGCAAAAGGAGATTACAGACCTGAAGACGGAGCTGGCCATGGCCACCGGGGAGTGGAGGACAGAGGAGCTCACGGAAGCAGAGCTCTACCAGTAAGCACAAACTCGCTTCCCCTGGGCGGTCAGGAACCGCGTGAGGGTACCAGTAAAGAGAGGCCTTCTCCACGGGAAGTGGGACGAGGCTGGCAGCATTTCTGCTGACTGGGCTTTGAGGAAGTAAAGGCCGGGAATGCCCGTCCCAGGCCAGCTGAGAAGGGGCTGAAGACGGGTCAGGCCATCTCACACTCCACTCACCTGATGCTCCCAGCTGTGGGTCTCAGATCTGAAAGGCATTCGAGAAGCATCCCTTGTATTACACTCCCCTTGCTTGGTCACCAGTGTCTGCCATGCCGGAGTGAAGTCTTCCTTTGTAAGTACACGGCCCACATATTACAGTTCAAAACCACACTTGGTATGAAAGCCAGCATTCAGGACTTCGTACAAGCCCGGTGTTCTCAAGCCAGTGAGATTTGCAGCCCTGTGGTGCGTTCTCATTCACTCTCTGATTGTGAGCTGTGAAGTGAGCTCTGTTTCTGTGATGCAGACGGTGGGTAGACAAGGCTTAGCAGGCAGAGGTGGGCTCCGTTTTCAATAGCAAGTGGAGCTGGGCTGGGGCTGGGGCTGGGGCTCAGGCGTAGAGCTTGTTGAGCATGCATGAAACCCTGCGTTCCACAACCCAAGCACGGAGCTGCACACCTGTAATATCCACACTGGGAAGTGGAGACAGGAAGATGAGAAATACAAGACCACCCTTGGCTACACAGGGAACTAAAGACAGCCTAGGGATGCATAAAACCTAGGGATGCATAAAACCAAGTGCTTTTTACTTTTTATTAAAAATTGATTTTATTTTCAAACGATGACAATTTCCCCTGCCCTCAGCTCTTCCCAAGCCCCTGACCTCCACACCCACCAAGTCTGTGCCCTTTCTTTCTCCCTCAGTAGAAAACAAACAGCCTCCTGTTCAGGTTTGTTTGCTTTTGCTTTATTTCTACTTTTCAGAGCCCATGTCTTTAAAAAAGTTCTATGAGATTTTTCTAAAGACATGGCCAAGTCACCAACTCTTTCTCAGAGGGGAAGTGGGAAACAGGAGAAAGTGGCTCTTTAAACTGCCCAGTCCGATGGCCTGAGTTTAACCCTGGACTCACAGGGCAGAAGGGAGTGACCCTTGCAAGTTGTTCCTTGACTTCCGTCTACACACACACACACACACACACACACACCGTAACACACACCATAACACACACCACATACACTCACATACCACACACACACCACATACCACAATACATACTACACACACACACATACACACACACCGTAACACATATAACACACATATACAATACACACACGCCACATACACTATACATACCATACATACGACACACATACACACTACATACACTCATATACCACACAAACACCACATACCACAATACATACTACACAGATACACACACACACACTACATACAATACCACATACCACATCCACTCATATACCACACAAACACCACATACCACAATACTTACTACACACACACACACACACACACACACATACACATACACTACATATATACATGTACATACACACACATGTTTAAATGAGGTCTGACTGAAGCTTGGAAAGTCTTCATCCAGGTTATTGCTATAATCGAAGCTCCTTCCTCTGGGATCCTGCTTCCTAAGTCTTGAGTTTAACAATGCAATAGCTCCACAGCCTCCCTGACAGCATTGCTGCACAGCAGATATAAGATTAGAGTTAAGTACACTGTACCAATTGAGTTATTAAGGATTTCATGTCAGTACTGGAGAGCCGGATCAGCAGTAAAGAGGTTCCTAGTTCAGTTCCCAGCACCCACATCAGCTCACAACCACTGTGACTCCAGATCAAGGGGCTCTGGTTCCCTCTTCTGGCCTCCAAGAGCACTGCACACATATGGCATGCATGTGTGCACACAAACACACATAAAGCAAAAACAAACAAATAAAAACTAGTAATGTTACCCTTTGAAATGACTGAAGATGTCCTTGATCCAAGGGGACTCAGAGGGGAACCCAGTCATTGTATGCCTCTCCTCAAAGAAAGGACATCTTGTGAAGTATCACCAGCATTTGATCCAGCCAGGAAAACAAACCCCTGTAGGCTGTGCAGAAGGAGTCTGACAGGAAATGAGTGCACAAAGGAGCCATCTAAGATGCCAGCTATTAGTAGGGTATCCTGGAGATCAGTAACAGTAGGTGCCAGGGATTGGGGACAATGTGACAGCGACATTTAGTGGAATCTCCTTTACTGCAATAAATGCCTAGAAGTCAACTTTGGGGAGGAGAATGTATTGTTAGCTTGTGTTTGTGTTTCTGTGCTTGGTGTGACGCAGAGCATCATGGTAGATAGACACAAGAGAGCATGGCTGCTTAACTCATGATGGTGCCTAGCAACCAGAGAGAGAGAGAGAGAGAGAGAGAGAGAGAGACAGAGGGAGGGAGGGAGAGGGAGAGGGAGAGAGAGAGAGAGAGAGAGAGAGAGAGAGAGAGAGAGAGAGAGAGAGAGAGCACAGGGCAGGGCACGATAAAATCCCCAAGGACCTTCTCCCGGTGGTCACCCTACTTCCTAAAGTGCCTTACATTTCCGGAAATAGCATTGTCAGCTAGAGACCAAGCCTTGGATGAAGGAGCCGGTAAGGAACACTATATTCAGAGCAGAGTGGTGGTATCATCAAGAACCGAGAGCTAGTGCTGCCCTGCAGTAGCTAGAACACGGGGGGGGGGGCAGCCCCGCTCCCTCTCATCCCAGCTCCCGACTCCCATCAGCGCCCAAGTTGGCTCAACTTACCCAGCAGAAGCCAGCTCCTCAGCAAGTCAGGGAGTATGGCTGCCTCTGATTCTGAGTCCGGGGGACAAGAATAGAAAAACTGGATCTTAGAACAACACACAAAACGAATAGCCGTGCTCTCCTGAATTTCTGTGCCCTGGGTGTTGCATAGGAGGCTCAGCTCTCGGTGAGCATTTCCATGTGATGGTTTGGCTGTGTTGGACTCAAGTCTTGGATGGGCGAATGGAAGGGAATGAATGGGGAGCACAGGACAGCACCATGAGAATCCCAGGGGTGGGGTTGCTGGGACGCTGAGGTGGCTTGGAGCAGTCAACAGCATTGTAGCTGTGTAAAGGGGCTTGCCTCAAAGTCTGACCACCTGAGTTCAACCCGGGAGCTGCTGTAAGGGAGGAGGAGGGTTGTTATCTGCTTACCATTGCTCTCCCCCACCATACATGTGTGCGCGTGCGCACACACACACACACACACACACACACACACCACTAATAATAATAGCAATAATAGAAGCTGTAATTAGTTGAAATAAGCACTTTAAAAGGACAGGTTCTACACACAGTCTTGGTGTAGAAAACATTCATGAAGCCTTAAAAGTATAGAAAAGGATTTAAAAGTTGCCAGAGGAAACTCAAGTCCAGGTCTGATTTATAACAGATTTTTCATTAGCAACCCTGGAAATAAGAAATAGTGATTTTGGGCTGGAGAGATGGCTCAGCCATTAAAGTCTGGGATCACAACCAAAATTATAAGAAATAGTAGTGATTTACAAAAAATATAAAAACAAAATCACTTCACATATATTTCCTAGGTCTAGCAAAATTAATACTAAAAGTAAAGATGAAATAAAGGATGTTACAGACATGCAAACTTTCAGACAGAAACTAGAGTCTTCCTCCCAGAACTGCCATGGTCTGTACGCTAGCAAAAGACACATATAATGAAGGGTAGGGAGCAGAAGAGATGAGCAAATGTGTTTACAGCACCTCTGTGGCACTTAGTGCTCTATAATATTTCTATCATTGCCATTTATTAGCTCTCCTATTCTCCCGTATATGAATCTGTCCGTTTAAAAATCACCAAAGGGCTGGAGAGATGGTGCAGTGGTTATGAGCTGTGGTGCCCAATTAGAGGATGAGTTTAGATCCCAGCACCCACACTGGCTAGCTGTGGTTCAGCTACAAGGTATCTGAAGCCCCTGCTGGCCTCCATGGGTATCTGCAAATGCATATGTGCGCACATGCATATTCATGCATGTGCGCGTGCACACACACACACACACACACACACACACACACACACACAATTTTTTTAAGTTCTGGAAATCACAATGAAATGTCCATTGCCAGGAGTTGAGGGGAGACAGGGAAGGGAAGTGATATTGTGACAAAAAAAAAAAAATTAAAATACTGAAAATCTCATGCTGGCTTCTACAAAACCATCAATAACAGATATGCAGATGTCAGTCTAGACAGATCCAGCATAGAGGGTGTGCAGGGCTAGCATTCTCTTTTGGTGCATAATTAGTATTTTCATTCATCTAACATTTGTTATTTATCTTGTGATCACAAAAGCACTACCGTGGGCTCTGAAAAGAATGCAGAAATACAAAGCCTGGAACTGGCTCTCACGGGGCCCACAGCTCGGGGGTGGTGAACAGACATGAGCACACAGTGTCTAAGCACCATGAGACAGTGTCAACAGGACAGGATGAGAATGTGGCGACAGCAACAGTTGTTCAAGAGCTCAGGGACCCCATGGAACTCGGTCAAGTGCTACTGAGCGTAAACTTGGGCAGTTCCCAGAGGGGTGGCTGCTGTGCCATCAGACAGAGTGTCTCCTTGGTGATCTCAGGCCGGCAGCTAGGGACAACATGGGCTGCAACCCCCATCTACACGCCAAAGCAAAGAGCTCGAGAAGCACCAGTGTATCCAGTGCACGGTACTTGTCCAAAACGTTTGTAAGAATGGCTCCCGTGGGTGCTTTGTTCTTTGTGTTTGACACAATTCACTAGAGTGGATATTGCACAGATTAAATTTTAACCAATTAGGAATCCTTGCTCACATTCAAGGGAGATAAATAGATTAGAATCAGCCCTCAGTGCAGCCCTAGTTTTTGACACCACCTGCCTGGTTTTTGTCTTTCAGGACCCTAGATATTTACTCAGAAATGGAAATCCTCTCAATTCCCGCTAGCCCCCACATTCTCCAAATGGGGATGGG